GACTAGTGCTGTCTTGTAAGAATTTCGTAGGACGCGATAAGAATGACAAAATATTCTCTGTATCTACTGGAACCGAGCCACATAGCTTGTATTCCACTATTTGCATTCACACCTGGGCTGTGTATATATATTGCCTTGGTTTGTTACAGAGCCAAACCATTACCTAAGCTGGTCAAACGTGTCGTTTGGGTCTATATCCTAGCTGCACTGATGAGGCCTGGAAGGCCGAAACGGATCCGTCTGCAGATATTGGGATTCCTTCCAGTGGATGCTTAGTTTATTTTGTCATTCTGATCGAATTTTCTCTACTGTTCTGTTTTAATTTTAGATAGTTTTGCATTATGTGGCCGTTTGCTGTTTTAGGGGTTTTCCCATTTGCCTTTCAAAATTTATATATATATATATAAACTTCGATGTTTTAAAAGTTTTCGGATTTTAAAACCGTTCAAACTTTAGAACTTTTTTTATGGCTGATCTGCAGTTCTTTATGCTTATATTTGTTGTATATCACTTTTTAAAACTTTTTTTAAATGTTGTTTTATAGATTTTTAAATATTTTTAGACAATGATCAGCATGTACGCTCAGCCAAAGTTTCGAACATGTTTTTATCTGAGTGTTTGACCAATAAATCAAAATTGAATTGAATTGATTATAATTGTTTGACTGTTTGACTTTTAATGAACGCAAATAAACTTTATTATTATGAGTTTTCTTTTAAGTAAACCAAAATAGCTAAAGTTATTTCATATTTGCATATTCGAGACGTGCGCCCTCTTTGCTCAGAGACGACGAGGGTAAATGCTCGAATACTGTACTAAGCACCCAGAGGTGACGGAACTAGGGGTGCTGTGTTATGAAGAGTAATGTGTGACTGGAAATGGTCTGCATCAGTTGGTTGTTACCATGCACCAGTGATGTTGGAGTAGATAGTACAGCAAGATGAAACTATTATGTAGGCCAAATGAATAAAGTTCGGAGTTTGTCGGGTAGTGAAATGATTATTGTACATTTTAAGCGTAGCTAAATTCATAAGTGTAAGCTAAATTACGGTGATTAATTTAATTAGCGAAGATATGGAGACAATTATTTCGAAGTTCCGTCTTTCCAAGAGGGGATGCAAATGCTTTGTGAAAATGAGTACGCCGCGGTACACATTTTCACAAAGAAATACACACAACTGGTTAGCTAACAATATGCCAATACATGAACACCTGGGAAGGAAGGTTCAATCACGTTGTTGCCCAGCAAATGTCTGTATGGGGAGGGGGCGCTATTGATGTACTGTGTAGCGGAAGACGATGAGGCATACATAATAAGACTAGGGCTAGGCCTAGGCCTAACTAGACAGTGCAATAATATGTATGTGTACACTTTCGAAAGAAATAAATTAAAATTAAATTAAAAAACAAAAACAAAAACTAATAACTAAGAATAATTCAGTTGAAGAGGTACCTTGTACGTATTATACAATGCTAACAATGCGGCTCTTGTATCCCTAGCTGGGACAAGGCATCCATGTGCAAAGCAGTGGCGTTTGTTTATCCATGAAAAAAGCACGCCGGGATA